CTCGGTTCATCCTGGTTGCTCGCTTTGCGTCCCTAGATGTGTCCCTTCGTCCCTTTCCCCGTCAGCTCTCGTGAGCAGGGCTTCTGAATGGGCTGGTGGGGGTACTTTTCTGTTCGCGAGCGACACAGAGCAACTGCGCGCCGTCAAGAAGCGAAGCAACAGCGCCACGATCCAAACTACGGCGTAACAGAGGAGCCACAAGACTGGACTGGCCAAAGAGGTCCGCCAGGCCCAGCTGGTGGGGATACTTGTCTGTCGCGGCCGCCAGCGGAAGCGCAGGCGGCATCCGAAGAGGTCGGGCGGGCTACGCGCGAGCCTAATTATACAGCCACTGGCAGGAAAGCCCAGAATCGAATCGATAAATCGGATCGGCATTCGACATGAATCGGATCGGCGGAACTCGGCAGCCGAATCGGGAAAAGTCGAATCGGCGGAAATCGGCAGGCTGGTATGCCTCCAATAAGGAATCGGAATCCAAATCGGAAGCCCAAGTCGAATCGAATCGGAATCGGAATCCATCGAAGTCGAATCGAATCGAATCGGAGGAATCGAAACAAGCCCTGCACTGGTGGGGCGCCGCATCGGCGATACATCGGCGATGCATCGGCGATGCATCGGCGATGCATCGGCGATGCATCGGCGATGCACCGGCGATGAGGCGTCGACGTCGGCGAAGAGAAAATCGGGCTCCGCGTCGAGCCGCATCGTCGATGTATCGGCGATGCGGCGCGATCCTCCGACCCCATCTACTCCGACCCCATCGCCTAGATGGTGGGGATACGCGAGGCGTGAATAATAAACGCCCTGTATCCGCCAAGTCGCGGCCACTGGTGGGGATACGCGACGGTAGACGCAGCGCAGTCCGTATCGGGCTGGAAGCGCACGCTGCGCCATCACATTCTCTCATTGTGATTCTCCAAGTGTTTTGTCTATTGCATTTTCCGCGCTCTGTCTGTCCACGCACCGCCTGGTGTACGACTCGGAAGGAAGGATGGTGGGGATACGCGAGGCGTGAATAATAAACGCCCTGTAGCCGCCAAGTCGCGGCCCAAAGGCTCTCGGCCCGCGAGGCCGCAGGCACGGCAACGCTTTCCGCCCACGAGCGCGCCGCCAGAGTATGTCCACATCTATCGGGGAGACGTAAGACCCGGGTACGGGGGACTCGGAAATCCCCGACGAGGTCGTCAACAAAAATGACGAGGCCGAGCCTGCATTTTGACGAGGCCTCCCGCTGCAGACATCCCACGAAACTCCTCCTCGTCAAAATCCGAGTCGCGGTCGTCAAAAAAAAATGGCGAACCCGAGTCCCGGCAAACCCGGGTCTTACGCTCCCTGCGAAATGCTTAAGAAATCATGGGTTAAGAAATTCATGGTCTCAGAACTTGAATAAAAACCCAACAGTCCTATTAAAATCTTAGGACTTACATTGAATCATTAAGAATAATCGAGACCCTGGCCGAAAATTTAGGTTTTCTTAAGCATCGCTTAAGGTGTATGTCCACATCTACTGCCGCGCGGTCGTTTCCCGGGGACTCGGGGAGCGGTGCATCTATGCCCGACCATGCAGGCGTGCAAATCTCCACTGTCCACCTCGTCTCGAGATGCCAGCGCGAGACTCCGGAGCGGTGGATATATCAGAATAGGAGGACCGATCGGTCATCGGTCATTCATTCTCCTTGGGTGCGTGGCTGAAGCGGGATTCCGTAGTTCGGATTATTGATGTTTGTTGTTGTTCGTTGTTGTCGTCGACCCACCCCGCGACCACCCGGCCACCCACCCCGCGACTCGCCCTGCGACTCGCCCTGCGACCCACCCGCGACCCATCCACGTTGCTTCGACGAAAAGATCGGCGCCTGCGGCGGGCCCGTTGCGCATTGTGCAAACAAAGTAGGCGCCTGCGGCGGGCTTCCTCGGAGCTTCGCAAGCCCCCGACGACCCCGCCGCCCCCTCCTTCTCGTCCGCGGCTGCGGCGGGCTGCGTGCATATCATTCTGGCGGGGGAGCGACGCAACTCGAGAGAGGTACGGCAGGCTCGTGTCGTGGCGACCCAAGCGTTGGTTTGCGACACCGCGTCGATCGTTCAACCTTGAACGATCGGCGGCTTTCCGATCGCCCGATCGTTCCATGCAGGCGGATTCTGGGCCACTGGCGGCGTTCAACCTTGAACGCCCGCGGCGGGGTCGCCGCTGGTCGACGCGACGCGAACCTACCGTAGGCAACAACATGCGCACTTAGAGGCCTCCTAGATAGGGTCCGAGTAGATGGGGTCGGAGGATCTCGCCGCATCGCCGATGCATCGGCGATGCATCGTCGATGCATCGGTGATGCATGGGCCTTTCACTGGCGACGTCGGCGGTACATCCGCGACGTCGGCGTGCGGAAAATGGACCCCGCATCGAGCCGCATTGCCGATGCATCGCCGATGCATCGGCGATGCATCGGCGATGCGGCGCGATCCTCCGACCCCATCTACTCCGACCCCATCTAGGAGCCCTGGAGCGCTGCAGGGAGGGCCCCCTTTTCCCGCGCGGGGGCGCCGGGGCGCCGGGCGCCAGGCAGCCCCCGGGGCAAGCGGGGCACGGCAGCAGCCGACGCGAGCCGCGGCGCCCGCGGCACACGCGGCGCCCGCGCCGACACGACGGCGAACACGAAGCAGCGACGGCGTCGACGACGACGACGACGAGGCACGACGAGGAGCCTCCCGAGGCACGACGACGACGACGACGACGACGACGACGACGACGACGACGACGACGACGAGACGACAACTAAACGCGGGAGGGACCGCGCCGCATCGGCGACGTCGGCGGCGTGGAGAAAGTGGGGGTCCACGGCGTGCTGCGTCCCCCATGCGTCGTCGACGCGGCCCGATGCAGCGGCACCATCTACCATGTAGAAACCCTGGAGACACTAGCTCTCCGACGATCTGATTTTTCAAGCCGGCGAGTGCTCGTCGATGGCGGCCCACATTTCCTGGCATCGGGCCCCAGGGGCCGCCCAAGAGTGGATCCGGAACGGAAAACAGAGCCGGGGCAGGTGGTCGGGGCCTCTGGGGCCGCGGATGGATTCACCCGCCAATAGGGAGCGTGAGCTGGGTTTAAGCCGTCGTGGGACAGGTTAGTTTTACCCTACACCCTGCGAAATGTTTAAGAAATCATGGGTTAAGAAATTCATAGTCTCCGATCTTGAACAAAAACCCAACATTTCCATTAAAAACTCAGGACTTACATTGAAACGTTAAGAATAATCGAGACTCTGGCCGAAAACTCAAGTTTTCGCCCAAGGTGTACTGATGAACTTGATACTGCGACAGTAATCGAAGTGAGCACGAGAGGAGCACTTCGTTCAGATGCCAGGGCCAGTCGGTGGGTGTCAGGGTCTGCAGGTCTGCGCCGCCCCCCGAGCGGCCCCCCGGTGGCTGGCCCGTGAGCCGATCCCCGCCGCGACCGGGGGGGAGGAGGAGGAGGAGGAGGAGGAGGAGGAGGAGGAGGAGGAGAAGGAGGAGGAGGAGGAGGAGGAGGAGGAGGAGGAGGAGGACTTCGGCGACGACCGCCGACGCGGGCGGCGAGGACGGGGCGGACAAGGCAGCATCCGTGGCACGCCGCCGTAGGGAGCCATCAGCGCGTGGACTGTCGACAGGCCAGGTCTTCGAGCAAGTACACCCCGCGAAATGCTTAAGAAATCATGGGTTAAGAAATTCATAGTCTCAGAACTTGAATAAAAAACCCAACATTTCGATTAAATCTGAAGATTTACATTGAAACGTTAAGAATACTCGAGACTCTGGCCGAAAACTTAAGTTTTCTTAAGCATCGCCTAGGGTGTACGACAGGCTGACACTTGCCGTCGCTCGGACGTCCATTTCCCGGGCATCGTTCGGTGTCGTGCGTGTTTTTTTGTTGCTCGATGGTCCTCGACAAGGAAAAATGCACACGTCCGAGCGATGCCGAGGACACGCAGACTGGCTCCCAGCTGCGGCGCGTCACCGATGCTGTTGATGGACCTGTTTTCCACCACCACCACCTTAAGTTGGAGGGGGGTAGGAGGAGGAGGAGGAGGCGGAGGAGGAGGAGGAGGAGACTGACCCAAGTGTTGGGAGCTCTGGCGCCGATCCCAGAGATCCGCGAGGACCTCCGAGGGCTTATGTTTGTATGTTGTGCATGCTTCTTCCACTCTCCTGCTGCCAAGTCGAGGCGCTGAACAAACGTAGCACAGTGGTCCTCGGAGGTCTCGTTGGGTTTGTCAGGCCGTTCCTCGGACCGAGGCCGCCCCATGCGCGCGTGGGCGCACCAGGTCAGGGGGGCCCCGCGCCGATGCAGGAAATCCGCGAGGACCTCCGAGAGCTTGTTTTCACGCTGTGCACTCTTCTCCCGCCCTTCCCGCTGCAAGGTCGAGGCGCCGACAGAAGGGAGGAGGAGGAGGAGGAGGAGGAGGAGGAGGAGGAGGAGGAGGACCCACCCACTCCCCCTCCAACTTATGGTGGTGGTGGCGGAAACCAAACCCATCAGCTGTCGTTCCCCCCCGAGGGCGGGGGCGAGGCGGTCTCTGCAGGCCTCCGCGGGCCCTCGGGTGGGCCTGTGCGCGGGGCCGCCGCCCACGGGCCGGGAGCGGGCACCCCGAGGCGCTCGAGAAGGCCCAGGGAACCACGCAGCACCGCCCAAGAACAACCTGGAGCTGGGACCGCCGATCTGAGACGAAGGCCAGGTTGAGATAAACTCGGATGAGGGCAGATCGGGAACCTCTGCTCGAAGGGCCCCGGAATCACCCAGAACCGCCCAGGAACAGCCTTCGGAAGCCGGGCAAGGGCTGCTAAATCCGTGGCTGCTAGAATCGACCTCCGGGAAATTGTCTCCGTCCTTCCGGGAAGAAATCCGTTGACTGTTTCGCGTGCCGCGCCTCATTCCGGGAAGTTGTTTTTTTTCCTTCCGGGAGGGCCGTTTTAGCAGCCACGGTTTCAGCAGCCCTCGCCCAGCTTTCGAAACCTGGAGCTTGGACCGCCGATCTGAGACGAAGGCACCGTTGAGAAAACATTCGGACGAGGGCAGATCGGGAACCTCCGCTAGGCGGCGGGTCTCGAGGATGTGTCGGGCGGCGCGGCCGCTCAAGAGCGCCCCGTAGCGCTCTGAAGGTCAGATGATCACGTTGGGGACCTTCCTGGACGCTCCACTGATGCGTCGATGCTGCGTCGAACTTCCGTCGGCTCGAGTCTTAGCGAAACTTGAGTCGAGCTAGAGTCGACCTAGAATCGAGCTAGAATCGAACAGATCCGCCCCAGCAAGGTCACCGATACGAATATCTAGTGTGCGCTTGGGCGGTTAATGTGCGACTGGTGCTTCACGCATCCCCCCTGTCCCCCCCTAACCTTGCCCCCGAGTCAGGGGAACACTGGAGGAGCTTTACGAGGGCTTGCCCCTCAACGGTGGTGCCCAAGGCGGGCTCCCAAGAGGGGCTGGAGTGCGGTCAGAGCCGGCCTCGAAGGCAAGAGTGAGCATGCCTGGGAGGGGCTCGAAGTATACACCAAGTCGTCTGGTCGGCCCAGTGTAGACGCCCCAGCTTCTCAACCTGTGGGACCCTGCAGCGTCTACACACCAAACCTATTCGCCCAACTCCTTTGGCTCCTTGGCCGACCAAGCGACGAGGTGTATACATCGAGCACCTCCGAAAGTTGGGCGCCAAGGAAGTGCAAGAGGGTGCCAAGGATGCCGATGGGATGCAAGGAAGCATAGTCGGCGGCGCGCCGGGGGGGAAAACAGCGGGGGCGGGCCTTTTCAGGAGACGGCGGGGCTACTCAGATGTCCTCGGGCCTCCTGAGAAGACCTCCGCAGAAGGCTGGGGGCCGTCTGAGCCTTCTGCCAGTGCCCGCCCCCTCTGCCTCCGTGGAGGCCACCCGGATGGGATCCGAGCAGATGGGGTCGGAGGATCGCGCCGCATCGGCGATGCATCGGCGATACATCGCCGATGCATCGGCGAGGCATGGGCGACGTCGGCGAGGCATCGGCGACGTCGGCGTGGATGAGATCGGGCTCCGGATGCGAAGCGACCCTCCGACCACAACTACGGCAGGTTCGCGTCGTGTCGACCCCGGCGTTGGTTTATGACACCGCGGGATCGTTCAGCTTTGAACGATCGGCCATTTCCGAAACGTCCAAATCGTTGCGCATCGAGCGATTCTGGGTCGCCCGCGGCGTTGAAAATTGAACGCCGCTGGCGGGGTCGCCGCCGGTCGACACGACACGAACCTACCGTACTCCGACCCCGTCTAGGCGGCCTTAGCAAGCCTCTGGGCGCGCCGCCGACGTGGGTCCTGGCGCGCTCCTCCGCTGGCGGCGTTGATGCCGACAAGTCCCAGTGAGCCGAGAGGTGCCGAGGCCCATTGCTTCTTGCGCTCTTGGGCGCCCGAGTTATCCGGGGTAACTCGGGTCCGGGGTAACTCGGGTTTGGATTCCCGAGAAAGGAACCCGAGTTATCCCTGACCCGAGTTACCCCTGATGATTCGGGGCTCTGGACGCCCGAGTTATCCGGGGTAACTCGGGTTTGGATTCCCGAGAAAGGAACCCGAGTAATCCCTGACCCGAGTTACCCCTGATGATTCGGGGCTCTGACGCTCGTCCTCGCGGCCGGGGTTGAAACCGCGGGCGGGGCTTCGAGGTCGCACCTCGTCGGCGGTGCATTGCGACTTCGCCTCGGCGGCGTTGGGATGGAGAAGGCTGGGCTCCCGAGCGCACCACGTCGCCGATGCGCCAGATGGACCGCGCGGTGTGGCGACTCCGCTCATGGCTTGGCAGCGAGCCCACTGGGGGGACGGCAGAGATGAAGGGGCCCCAGGACACACAAATAAATACACACAAATAAAATAATTCCCCATATTTTCCCATATTTTCTGGCTTTTTGTCTTCCCTCCCACTTCCCATATTTTCCCATATTTTCCTGGAAATCGACGATTAATTGTGTCTGTGTGTTTCTTTCCCTCCTGAAGAGAGGGCGGGGCTTCCCAGACGGCTCAGAAGGCCTCCGGCCCTCTGAGAAGCATTCTAAGCCCGCGCCGCAGACGCAGACGGCTTCTCAGAAGGCGCGAGGGCGCCCGAGAAGCCCCGCCGCCTTCTGCGAAGGCCTGCCTCCTCTCACTCCCCCCTGGGCCCGCCGCCGAAGGAGGGGAGCCGAAGGGCGAGGGCGGGGAGGGGGAACCGCACCCTGGAGCCGAAGGTACAGCCGGAACGTTGACCTAAGGAACGATAGATAAGGAACGAGGCCCCTTTTCCCATAGATTAAACTCCGACTTTCCATGGAAAGCCTCAGGAAAACCCAGGGAGCACTGTAAAGCAACTAAGGAACACGGAGCCCCTCCCCAACAAAAAGCGTTCCTTCTTCAGGGCCCGACTGTACATCGGCGACAGGCCCTCGATTGGAAAGCCCCACGGGAGCAACTGCCACTCCCCCCCGAGCGGCGAGGACTGGGGTGGGCAGGGGGTCGATGCTCACCAGCCTGAGCAGGTCCCCGCCCCCCTGTGGTTCCTCGGGCGATCGAACTCGGGCCCCCGGCGGCCGCTCGGGACGACCCGGACACACCCCGGAACGCTCTCGGCGAGGTGCAGCCGCTACGGACGGCACCCCGAGGCTGGCAGGCCGGCGAGGAACGACGAAAACGCCCGCAAACCACGAGTCTCGAATGGAGGCCTCCTGGATGGGGTCGGAGTAGGTGGGGTTGGAGGATCGCGCCGCATCGCCGATACATCGACGATGTATCGGCGATGCACTGGCGATGCAACGTCAACATCGGCGATGCGTCGGCGACGTCGACGTGAAGCAAATCGGGCTCCGCATCGAGCCGCGTCGCCGATGCATCGGCGATGCGGCGCGAGCCTCCGACCCCATCTGCTCGGACCCCACCTACGAGGCCCAGATCGAAGCCTTTGCCCCCCATCAGAACTGCAGCATCGATGCCTGGACCTCTCCTGGGGCGCGTTCTGCCAAGCATTTCGAGGCGGCTCCAGCCGTGGCCACGAGGGCGCCCCAGGACGATCAGAAAACCTGCGGGGGCGCCACGAGGGGCGCCCCATTCCCCCCCTGAGCCAATCCCCCCGCCCGTCGGCGCCCCTCACTGAACTCACCCCCGCCCCGTTTGGGGAGGCCCCGGCCCGGATTCAGTCGCCGTCGGGGTTAGGGCGGACGCGCTGCAGCGCGTCCTTCAGCAGGATCTCGTCCTCGGCGGAGCAGGTCGGGCTTGCAGTTCCCTCCTTCTCCCGTCGATTGACGCATACGTCGGGAAGCAACTCCTGGGAGGCATTCGCAGATTAAGGGCAGGCCAGAGTAGCGGGGGATGGCAAGCGGGATTTAGCCAGATTGAGCAGGCCTAGGCCGCATTATATCGGTGTTCGACCACGGACATCCCAGCGCCAGTGCTGAATCCAACTCCCAGGAGTTGCACACTAACCTCCGTATTGCAATAGAAGAACTAGAACCATCGCGCGCACTTCGAGCGCGCTCAGGTTCTCTGGAATCCCAGCTCGCAGTGAGATGTCGCCGGTCGGGCTACGATTTAGGATATGACTTCAGCCCGAAGATTCCCCCCCCTGGCCTAGCCACTATACCCCTGGCCCTACCCAGGTGACGATGCAGAGGGTATGAATGTTGAGGGTTACGGGAATGATATTTTGGATGACTGTGACAGTGTACATGCGTATGTTGAGGACGATTCCGATGGTGATGTCGACGACGATGTGAATGACGATGAAGAGGATGCTTGCAAGCACGAGGGCGACAACGAGGCAGATGATGGCGATATGTACTACACGATGAATGATGACGACGGAACTGACACTGCTGACACTAGTAAAACTGCGGACGATGACGACGATGAAAAGAGTATGGGGACGGCATGCGCCATGAAAAACGTGGCGATGATGAACATGCCCGTGACCGTGACATTGACGATTGTGACGTAGCGTATGATGATGGGGCCGCATGTCACGTCGGCGTCGGCGCTCCAACAGGAAGACCGTGTGGTGTCTGACACCGCGGGGAGCGTTCAAATGCGGAGGATCGGCGGCCTTGGAAGCGTTCAACCTTGAACGCCCGCGCCTTTCCATGGAGCCTCTTGGGGCGTCTTGGCGGCGTGTTGGCCGTCTTCAGACAGTTTCGGGCTGTCTCCGAACGCTCCTGAGGTCCTCGATGCGCCTCCTGGAGGCGGCCTGGGCGGTCTGTAGTCTGGAGGCTGTCTTGGCCGGTCGCGGGACGCGGGGGGAGCCCGCGGGGAGGGCGGGGGCCGCTGTACAAGCGGCCGCCCGCTGCTGGTGCCACGGGGCCCGGACATCCCCCTTGTACGTGCATGGGCACATTCGTGTACGAATGCACGCATGTATGAGTTTCTACATATATCGATATCCATGTGTGTTTAAATATATGTATATGTGTGTATAGATGTGTGTCCATGTGTGCATATCTATATATATATATGTTTAGATATAGGTATGTATATGTGTACAAATGTATATACATATGCACATATGTAATTTTGTGTGCGTTGCTACATAATGCATCGTTGCATAGAAGCAAAACTAGATACACTACTACTACTACATATATATATATATATGCAAATCTGTATATATAGTACTCATTCATGCATGTATACATACATGCATGCAAACATACTGACAGACAGACACACGGACAGAAAGACAGACCGACAAACACGCATGCATACACATAAACGTGTACATATACATATACATACATGCATACATCCATCCATCAGTCCGTCCGTCCATCCGTACACACATACATACATGCATACATACAAACGCACATGCATACATACATACATGGGCGCTGGCCTATTCCCCCCTTGGTTGTTTGAAGGTTTGTGTTTCGTCCTTTCGACCAGAAGTCACGATCGCATGGTGAAAGGCAGGACCGCAAGGTGCGAAGTCGGCATCCAGCGGACGCAGCAGAAGGTGTAGTCGATGATGCACCTGGGGTTTGCGTTCTTCGTGCAGGGATCCCTATCTCGATCTCAATGGACAATCAGCAATGGTCGCCCAGGGACTCTTTGGGAGTAGGGGGTGGTGCAAGTGACAGTCTGTGTCCCGCGGAGGGGGTTTCCTTAGAAGACTACAGAAACCTTCCCATGCGGGTCAGGGGGCGATTCCCCCCCTGCGTGTTACATGCTTTTGTTTTGTGGGAAGCGGAGCGCGTCGTTTGCCTGCTGCTGGTATCGGCACGGTATACCCGCTGTGCTTTTCCCGGGCGCTGCCTCTCCTCTCTCTCTCTCTCTCTCCGCCGTCCTCCGCATCAAATTCAGCCGACTAGCCTAAACAACAGCCGAAAGTGAACCTAAGCCTAGCCTTTGCCTCAGTTTCAGGCTCTGCCTCAGCCAAGGCTCAGCCTCAGCCTAAGCCTGGCTTAAGCCCAAGCGTCAGCCTCAGCCGAGCCTGAGCTCCAGCAGGAGCATTGCCTAAGACTGGCCTAGACCTCAGCCTAAGCATTCGCACCAGCCCCGGCCAGCCGAAGCCCAGCCTAAGCCAGCCTAGCCCAAGTCTCAGCCTAGCCTAAGCCCAGCCTAAGCCTTGCACTCCAATGTTAGGGCGCTACTACTACTGCCGCCAGTATCAAAAACCACGAGTACAGTTACCACTACAGCGCTGCAGTACGAAAATATTGCGACAGTGCTTCGATACTACAACATTGAAGCCTTCCTACTACAACACTGTAGGACACTCGCTGCAGGCAGCCGTAGAGTACTACTCATACGCATACTGTACGGGAGTACTGCTTCAACAATACCACTTCTACAATAATACATACATATTCCAATGCTACGATACTCTTCCTAAAGCACCACCACTAAATCAATACGGTTCGAAGATATTACTACTGTGGCCGAGTACTACAATAATTGGCGACATCTACTGCAATACTACTACAAAGCGATTACTAAAACAAGGATTAGACTATGATCTGTATTGCAAGACCGGACTGCTACCACTGCAACTAAAAGGCTACTACAGTGCTGTCACTGCATTAATGCAATACTGGCTTAGCACAATAACGAGGTACCACGAATACAACACTGAAGTACCACTCTGGCAATGCTACTGCTACAGTGCTATACTACGACCGTTACAGTATCATCACAACAGCACTACCGTACGAACGAATACTATAACAGTGCTGCGACACTGCGGAAAAGGGGTATTCCTACTTCAGTGCTGTAGTATACTCACTGCAGGCAATTATCGAGTACTACTCATACGACTGTTGTTCTATACTGATGCTGCTACAGCGCCACTACTGCAACAATATAGAACGATTCCCCAATAGTACAGCACTCTTCCTATAGCACCACCACTAAAGCAATACAGTTCGAGGATACGACCAATGTGCTCAAGCACTACAGTAGCGGACGACTTCTACTACAACATTGCAATGCGACTACTAATTCAAGCATCAACGTATGATACGGATTGCAAGACCTGGGTGCCACCACTGCAACTACAGGAGTAGCACAGTGCTGCCACAGCATAAACATGTAATACCACGAGTGGCTTAGCATGGTATCGACGTACCACTCGTACAGTACTAGGGTACCTGCAGTACTACTGCTACGTACTGTGCTACGACTATTTCTGAGTCGCCACTACAACACTGAAACAACACTACAGCAATCCGACACTACCGCGGCATTGTAGTCCTACTGCAAGCATGTAGCACGATCGCTGCAGGCATTCGTTGAATACTACCCATACGCATACTGTACCATCGTACTGCTTCTACAGTACCACTACTATAACAGCGGAGTGCGATTCCCCGATAGTGCAGCACTCTCCCTGCGGCACTGCCACTAAAGCACTAGAGCTCGAGCATACTATTGCTGTGCTTGAGTACTAAAATTAATGAGTTGCCCCACTACAAACGACAGTGCGACTGGTAAAACAAGTGCTAGAGTATGATATTTACCGCACGGCCTGAGAAGTAGTAGTAGTTGTTGCTGCTGCTGCTGTACTTGCAGTAGTAGTACAAGTACTACAAACCACTGCGACTATTACGACTACGACTACGACTACAACTACTACTACCAGATACTACAATGCTGCCACACAAGTAATGTAATACTAATACGGTAGTTCCATAATGCTGCCGTCGTAGAACACTGCGATTTGAACAGCACTACAATTCTAGTACTACGGCAGTCAGTACTACAGCACTGTCATTGCAATACAAGAGTAGTACTACCACGTACTACTGCACGACTGTTAATGCAGGACTGTAGCAGTAGAGTGCTCCTACGTTAGTACCCTCGTGCATCTGGCGGCCATGGAAGGGGAGGAGGAAAGATGCGGAGTCTCCTCCGTGTTCCCCCGCCTCTCCTCCCGTCTCCCTCCTGGGTCTTGGGGCAACGGGACAGGGGGGAGGATGCAAGGCCCCCCCGTCTCCGTAGGCTTGGGCGTGGTCGCCGTCGTCCCTCCTCCGCCTCCTCCTCCTCCTCCTCCTTCTCCCCCCTGGAAGGTGGGGGCGGGATTCCTCCCCCCCACCAGAACGGGCCGTAAAGAGGAGGAAGGTTCACTTGGTCACGAACTATAGACATCGAGGTTCGCATAGTCGAGGTCGTTATTACGCGGCCAACCCAGCGAGGTTCGCACCGCTAGGTTCCCAAGTCAAAAACTCAGGGAAGGCGAACAACACAAACCTTCAAAGGCATGGGAGGAACAGGCCAGGACCCACATACGTACATACATACATACATACATACAGACAGACATACATATATGCATATATACATACATGCATACATACATGCGGACGTACAACTATACAAAAACATACACCTATCAATATACATATAATGTACACATACGTATACACACAACCATACATGCATGCATGCATGACTGTAGACATCAGAGCGAGGGGGCCGAGAGGTCATTCATTGTCCCTGGGTGCGTGGCTGAAGTGAGGATCCATGGTGGGGATTATGCTTTGTGTTGTTGTCGTCGTCCCCCCCGCGACCCGCCCGCGACCCACTCGCGATCCACCCCGCGACCCACCCCGCGACCCACCCCGCCCACCCGCGACCCATACGCGACCCATCCGCGACCCAACCGCGACCCGGTCCACGACCAACCCGCGACCCGCCCTCGACCCACCCGCGACCCACCCCCCGATCCACCCACATTGCTATAACGAAAAAGTCAGCGCCTGCGGC